ACCAGTTCTCGTCTATGTGTACCTTGTCGAGATATAGGAGTTTCTTTTCCCGAACTTCTCGAATCCATTGATGACGTATATCGATGTACTTTGAGCGGGAGTGCAATGTTGAATTGTTTGAAGGAAATCTTGGATCGTGACAAACGCTTGAAGAAGAAGTTTGAAGAAAGAGGGTTGACAATTGGAAGATCTAGTCATGAGGACTAGAAGAACAAGAGAAGAAAGAAGAGTTCATGTTGGAATCTAGCTACTATATGTTTTATATTTGAACTACTCGTTTGTTTCTGAGTTGTCCGAGTCTTTAGGAGTTAAGTTGGAGTCTTGTTAGTGGACTACGTTTCCACATAAGTAGAAGTTGCAGTTAGTTTGGTTCTATCTAATCTAAGTTTGTAATTTTTCTAGCTTTCCCTAAGATGAATGAAACGTTGTTTCTTCTCTCTGAAATCTCTTCTTAAGCATTCTCATTTTTACATCAAGTTTGTTCATGGATATACTTGTTGAACTGGATTATTTATGCCATACGTTAGTTTAGTTTCTTTTGCTCTGTTTCATTTACTGTTGAACTGAATTGTTTATGCCATAAGTTAGTTTCTTTTGCTCTGTTTCAATTACTGTTGAACTGAATTTTTTATGCCATAAGTTAGTTTCTTGCAAAAATTATCACAAGTGGTGGGAATAGTGAGGAAGACAAGAAGAGGGAATTGTTTCAAGAAACAAGAGGAAGCTTTAAAGCTTGTCTTTCTTTCTTAGGATTTTGTAGTAGTAGAGAAACAAAAGAAACTATCCTTGGGATTTGATGGAAAAAAACTTGTACATAAAACTTATTCGTAAAGATCCATATTCTGCTACTCTCAAACTGCTACTTGATGAGATAAATAAAAAATATGTAGAAAAGATCCAAACAGATGAGATAAAAACAACTGCAACCATTTTCAGAGATATAGAGCTTAAGGAAAAGGAGAAATGAGCAATAAAGGGAGTTTTCCTTTTCCATGCATTGAAGATTCATCTTTACTTCCATGTTCTTCCACCTGCTTCTGGAATCTGATCAAAGAGGCATACTACCATCTGTTACAGTAGAGTAGTATTTTCAGTGCTTGAAGGTCGTTCGGTAGACAAATTTCCGTCAACCACATCTTCGCCCTTACCAGATCGATAAATGTATCAACAATGGCATCATTATTTTGTGCTCTTAGAGAATTACGCTTTTGACCTGTTAATGAATCTTCTAATCATTACTATACGAACAAAAAAATATTCAAGATCCAATAAGAATCTTAAAGCAAACAAATAAATACCCAATCTCACAACTCAATAGCTTTTTTTCGAAGAAAGGACAATAAAACAGTTGTTCATGTAATGAAATAATAATAAGATTAGAAGCAGCATATACTAATGTTACAACAGCTTAAAAGTCAATAGCGTAAGCTTGATGCATCGCTTAACTCAAAGCAATCATCCACATCCACCAGTGTCAAAAGGAATTCGTTCACATATGCATATTACAAGTTACTGGAGAGGGGCCAGCCAATCGTAGCAACATGAGAAAGGAGGTGGATTGATGACGTCGTGGACAGTGTTGGAGGAGAGTTGGTAGAATCCGAACCCTGTCTGAAGGTCTGTAAAATAGATGGAATTAGGCTTAAGTCCAGGATACTCGGTTGCAGAGACGCAGAAGGCCTCGTTGCAGCCAAGGAAAATGCAGAGATCGCCAATGTCTCTAGTGTAAGAAGTGATCTTTTGCTCAGGGTCTTGCCTAAACACCACAAACCCCCTGGGCTTGATCTTGATGGAGGATTGATAAGGAGGTTCCTTGGCACGTGAAGCCTCGAATTCTTCTCTGTTGACGTACTCGTCAAGCCTTCAAGACAAGAGGCAATTAATGAGGATAACTGAATCTTTGGTTAACCAGGAAAGTGTGATTCAACAATGCCAAATTAGAGTGTGATCAGAACAAGCACATATTATTATTCTCTCTAAGACCACGTGATTCCATAGGAGAGTGAGAGACATAGCCCAAGACTTTGATTTCAAACAAAGAAATTCCCTAAGAAATTACCGTTCTACTGAAGGTAATGATGAATTAATTACCAGTAAACGACGAAGGAGTCGCCAGAAGGTGACTCGACAATGTGTTGAGACTTGATACCTCTGGAAAGCTGTTCTAGTATACTCTTGGGGATGTCGGAGAAAGGGAATCCCTGGTATAGACTCACCTGAGGTAAGCCTGAGCTAGTGTCTATGAGGTCAACTGGACCATCGTACTTTTCATCACCAACCCTGTTGAGATAGAATTTACGATCCCTCACGGAATATATCATCTTTGAGGCAAAAAAGGGGGTCTTGATACGTGTCCAATCCGAGTCACCAGGCCACTACACAGTCTTCCTGGTCCGGCGAGGCCGAGAGAGAGATTCTGCATATACGGGCTTTAGGTGTAGGCAAAGAGATAACCTTGCGTGAGGAAGCAGAGGCACAAGGGTTGAACATGTTGGTGAGATGCATTTTGGAGTTGAATAGGTTCCTTGTAACCACCCATCCCCTTGACGATCCTACTTTCGTCGATGAGAGGAGCTCCTTCCTCAGAGTCTGGTCCGGGAATTTCACTGTTTCGTCTTTCCTTGGATCGTACAAGTTCAATTCGACCAGTGGTTCACAAGATAATGTCATTTCGTACTTGCTGGTCTCGCTGAAAAGCAGATACGGCGTCGCCGCCGTGGACAGTGACCGCCGGAACTCACTGAAACAGAGTCCATGCTTCCCAATTGAGGATGATGAGATCTTTGCGATTCGAACCAAAAGCTGAGACATTCTTGAAATGAAATCGAAAGAAAACCCTAAACGGCTAAAACCCTAAAACCCAACTCACTCTCTCGCTTCATATACTTGTTCCACTTTCCCAAAACTTACGTTTTTCCATTTTTGTTCCTCCTACCATTAATGGCTCATCTGTTTGGTGTTGAGATTTAGAAAATCATACCGAATTAAAGTAAACCAAACCAAATTCGAATTAAACCGTCTTCCTATTGTTTCAGTTTTGCTGAAGCTGAGATCGGACCAGATTAGTCGGGTCTAGTTATAGTTACCCCCTAATAACCGCGGTAGATTGCAAACCGATTATACAATTTAACCGAATGTAACTGAACGGCTTTGATAAATGATTCTTGAATGTTTGTTTTTCTACTAGTTATTTCTAGTTTTGGTATTGATTAACACAGTACTGTATTTGTTCGTGTTTATCTTTTAAAACTCAGTAATGATGATTACAGCATTTACGTTCCTTCTCATTGAAACAAACGTGGCCAAAAGACTACATTTTATTATAAATGAAATTATTCAACGAACGCTTGTGTAGTTGCACTAACAAACAAAGTATTTTTATAGTCATCACTCTTGCATTCTTAGATATACTCCAAGAGGGGAATTTCCGTCATTGGAACCAAATAGCTTTTGGTCCAAGGATAAATTTTTATTTGTCCAAGATTAAGGTGACAATGGTTTTGATGTTGGTGGAAACCAAACTTACCACGATTTGATGAGAATTTCTGCTCAATATGGAATCAAATCATGGAAAGGACTCTGTGTCCAATTTACAGAGAGTGGATCGTAGTAAAAGTGCATCTGGAACCTATGGATTTCCAATTAAAATTCCTCAGCACCAAATAGTTGGAGAAACTGTAGGGGGGATTGGTCTCGTGATTGGCTTAGGTTATGTTGTATGTTGCTAATGGAGGACCTAGTAAGGCTCAGGATTAGTTCTCGCCATGTGTAGCTCGCCAACATCAGGGTGGGATTTGGTTGAGGTCCTATGCGTAGCTAGTTTGGGCTAGTGTAGTCTCGTTTAGTACTTCTCCTAGCACGATGTGTCGCAGACAAGTTTAGAGGGAAACTTGCTTGTCGTCTCTTGGGGTTTGTAGTTATTTCGTGCTACCGGATGAACGTGCTTCCTTTAGCGTCGTGGGTATTTCTTTGGCCTCTCATGTTACTTCTCCTTCACTGGCTTCTTCATTGCTTCCTCGCACGCTAATTCCAAGATGTTTATCGCAACTTCTCAGGATTGCTCCTGAATGTGTTGGGATTGTTCTTTTGTCTCCATGGTTTTAATATTTTTTTCCATGGGATCAAAATCTTAGGCGTAACATTTTGTTTTAAAAACAATTTGTAACCCTAAACTTTCATTTCATAAATCATATTTACAATTTAGCAAAAAACAAAAAAAGTGTAGGGGGGGAGTTGAACCCGAATGTATGTGGCTCTTTGTGGTTTTGACAGATTTATGATCGGACTTCATGCTGTTTTGAAGATTTGGAAACGACAGATTGTGTAAACACAAAACCATTAAAACGACAGGCCGTTGGTTTGCATACAGCTGGTCCACGAACAACCTCGGGAAAGCATTTAACAAGTTATTATGATTTAATAACCGGTAAGCATTTAATGAGTTTGTTTGAACAATTATGACTCTTTTGTTTTTTTTTTCTTCTCTCGTTGCAATTAATTTATCTCAAG